GCTCTACTTGTATCGTCTTCCTCTATAAAAACAATAACTAATTAGGTTGATACAAATCATCTGGATACAAAGTTTATATGTATGAGTTTGGGGCCAATGTTTAAATATTTTAATTTATTAAATGGGTTTTAAAGAGATAGGTTTAGCTTGTGGGTTTCATTTGTCAAAGAATAGTCTCATTTGGTTTGCTATTGAAAACTGAAAACTGCTGGACAGTTGTTTCATCTTAATATAAGTCTCTTCAGCAATGTAAAACCATAGGACCTTCACGCTTTATGGAAAGTGCTTAATCATTTGGTTGGTGTTCAGTAGTATACTTATAACTTTAGTCAACTTGTGATATACCGAGATGATCATTCTATCCCACTGATGATAGGTGTTTCACTCCTGACTCATCAGAACTATCAGGCAAAACTACTTATTAGAACTTCAGGAGCACCTTGAAATAAATCACTACTGAACTGAATATTGTAGTTTTGATTGAAGGGGTCCCATATTAGGATGAAACAGCTGTCCAATGCTCCCTCGTTTTCAACAGTACCCTAGCTGAGATTAGTTTCTGATGAATAAACAAACTATTCCAAATAAAGGATTTCTAATTTAACTATTGTTATATTCTAATGTTGGTGTATCTGAGAGTGAGCTAAAAATACTGATAAGATGAAAGAGTTATTACTTAGTTTTACTACTATAATATAATCGTTTTCATCAACATTATTAATTTGTAAAGTAATGTACCATGATCAATATTGTATGAATGGTGTTATCATCATGCTATGTGATTATTTGGCAGTGAAATTTCGTTCTCAGATCTGATTCCTTTGATCATGAAGTTCTCACTGTTTTTCTAGAAAGTTACTTGTTTTGACTTAGAGGTTATTTATCATTTTTGTATACTCAGTTTAAATTATTTAATTGAAATATGTTTATTGTTTGATAGTAAGCGACGTCATACATTTATCTAGACTTCATAGTACATACTGAATTCTTTTAATCGATTTGCAAATGTGAACAGTAGTATCTAAGTGACTCAACATTTTTTGCATGGTTTTGGGATGTTAGACGGTCGGAGACAATAATCACAATACTCTATATAACTAAATTTACTACTCAGTAATAGATTAATCACCATTTCATAGTTTAAACTGATTAAAGTTCTACAATCTTCATAAATTTCCTTATATTAATAATAATCATACTCAATTCCTGGAGTTCTGGTGAGAAGCTATATCCAGTGGAGTTCAACTACGCCGGATGTGAGATAATCACCCATTTCAGGCAACAGATGATTGACGTTAGATATGTACACAATTAGATCTATAAGTTCAGAGTTTTCATGTATGATTCAAGGTGGTGGGTTTTATGCCTGGACGAGAGATGGTAGATGGGCACTGTTGAGGAATCCCATAGTAGGAAACGGCCGTTTGGTGCTTCTAGATTTTCAGTGGTGGTCTATCTAAGGTAAGTTTATGATTAAACCTATCCAAAAGCATTTTGTCAATGCCATGTGAAATCATCACGAAATTTATTTCTGTTAACAAGTGGTAACTTGAATACTTTCTTTCATTTCGACCATGATGAACAATGAAAATTATATTTTAAAAATTCGTTAGCATGACATATTGACAGAACTACTTTACTTCTTGTTCTGCTTTAGGAAGAGTTGAATAATTTCCAAGGTATACTGGGTAATGGAAGAGCTTAACATAGATACTACTTTAGTGAACGAGAGCACAAATAGGGACAATCAAGTGTACTTCTAAATATTACAGAACCTCTTAGTAAAATGTAGCAACCATACACTAAATACTTCATTTGCGAAATATCCATCAATTGTCTCAGGCTTGACTTTTCCTTCGTTTCCACATCGATCTCTCTCCGTTCTCGTTCCTTCTCTTTGACTTTCTCAATCTGCCACCGGGCATTCCACTTTCGGTTGGTGATACATACTACTTATATCTGTCGACATCAGTAGCACACAACACACTACGTGTTGATGGCTAATAATATGTTACTCAGTATATGATTTTTATGATTTTTTCCAACTTATAACTTCAACAGTAACCCTTACAAACATAAGAAAGAAATATCACTATATCTCATATTACTTTAAGTTCATTCATATCCTGTGAATTCTCCAAATCACAGGTGAGTGTTTTTTCAAATCCATAATGATAGTTTCTTCATTAAAATTGGACATTCGCACACGTTACATATCCTGATTTGATATGTTCAGACAAATATCGTCTTATATCGATTCGTACATTATGACCTTGGTGTTGCTTACTCGATCTTGTGTAGTATGAAAGTATACCTTCCGAAAACTATTGGATTATTTAGTTATTACTATTATCAATAATAAGAGGAAAGAATTAACACTCAATCATCGCCATTCTTATTTCTCAGTGGTTGTGTATTTAATTTATAATCAAAGCAACGAAGAAAAATAGACATCCTTATTAAAAAAGCAGATCAGTACGGACAATCTAGGTAACAACATAATGCTAAGGCGATCAAAAGATTACTTAACAATTTGTTAATAATGTTAAACTATCATTAATGATGTTAACCACGACTGCATTTTTACTAGTTCCGTCTTTCATACGAATTTGGCTCTTTTCTGATTGGCTGCCAATTGAAAGTCACCATACATTTTTATATACTGATTGTACTATTTCAAGTTGTTCTGGTTGCACATCGAGTTTTCCCAATACTTCGTCTTCTTCCTGCATCGGAGGCGAATTGTCCATGTGTTCTATACCAGCTGCCCTTTTCGAGTAAGCAACAGGAATAGCTCAATCGTTCCTTTACAAGCAAACATATGGGACTGACAACCAAAGGACGAAAAGGACTCAATTACATGATACTCGATACACTGATATAAATATTTTGCTGTTATACTCTTGACTATTTCGTTCATTTAGGATAGAATGCTAATCTTTATCCATGTCATCCATGCTAATAACTTAACTGTGATGGGAAGCTGCGACTTGTGTAGTTAATCAATTTAATTGTAAGAAAATAAATATCTCATGTATGATATTGTTAAAGTATCGTCAGTCGGTTAATAAGTTATAATCAACACAGAGTTTGGGACAAGTATCTGTTAGCTCAAGTTGTCATGCCGCATATTAGCCAAATGAGATAAAACTGGGATGATGATGGTAATGACAACGATAAAGACTTAAGATTGGGAAGATGGTTCGCAGAAGCAGAATGACAAGATTTATGTAGAGGAATGAAAAATGAAGTTCAAGATATAGTGTAAGATAAATAGTGAATGTATCTACGCTAACGTGAACGATTATCAGCCATATCATTCAACGTCTCCAACCACTGATCTTGACAATTGCATGCATCCTAATCACATGCTGTGCATCTACAAACATGGGTTAGGTCAACAGTCAGTGATTTCATGAACTGATGACGAGTTTTTGGTTAGGCAACCCCTAGCTTCCTTCCAACTTATTTCTACACCGGTTAATACAACATATCGACGTAGGCGATGGTTGGGGAAGCGTAACACATGCCCCCAAACGCCCTGGTACGGCCGAGAGTGGGGAGAGTCCGCTCTCCCTCTCGAAATACTCTCACATGGTCACGCGCATATAGCCTCTGTCAGGGAAGTCCTACTCACCGCCTTATCACACAACGGGTGTTGTTTACGAAAATGAGAGGACGAAAAGCGAATGTCCGGCGCTTTAACCGGATCCCAAACCAATGGAGCACATGGGCTAGCTCCAGTATCCTGAAGGAACAAATGGCGTATGAACCAATCGTTGGTCACCGGCTACCATGGGACTGCATCTCCTCACGATGCTCCACTGCCTTGTGGATCAGACGTTCAGGTCAAAGGCTCGGGGTGTGGCCTCCTAAGAAAACTACCTGCTTCGTTTTGGGCACGCGGCAGTATCACAGCCCTCACACACATCAAATGAGATCTGTGTGGCGCATATGTATTTGGTGCCTCCTTGTACCAATATCTATGTGTTAAAATAAAATAAATAAATAATAACACATATCCCAACCAGCTTAAGAAAAGAAAATTCACAACCTAATCGACCGATAAGCATCACATTATACCATAAAGAGACTTTAAGTTGAACTATAGACCGACTTTATCAAAATGCAATAGCTTAATAATATTTTACTAACGGTGGAATCCAAATCTTTGGATTCGAGATCCCAATGTGAAGTCGTTAATGAATATCGCTAGAAATAATGACGGGAAGTTTGTATTAGTTATTTAATCTTCCGTACATTACAGTGGTTCCCCAATATTTCAGCAGACAATTGAAAAGTATTTCGTATACTTATGAACCTATAGACAATTAATTAATATCCTTGACTAGTCATTTTACTTGCCCAATCATTATACTTTCCGAAGGTCAAATAAAATCAGACCAGATCTGCTCAGCCCATTCAAAATATTCCGGGGGTGGATATTTATTAGATTGGTTAAGCGGGTGATAAAATGATTGGTTAAATTCAAAAACAAAAAAAATTGTGGGAGCCTGGATATATCCAATGTAAGTTTATGGCACGTGTGCTAAATGTTTTTGTTTGTATATATATATATATATATATATATATATATATATATATATATATATATATATATATATATAATGGTAAGTGTAATTGTTTACAAAATTAAAGAATGAACACACAAATATAAATATAACTAACTATTTAAACTCTAAGCAAAGGTGGTAGTTTAGTAGACATACTTATTATCGACATGTTACGTGAGACATTAAATTAGCAGCACTAAATATATATATATATATATATATATATATGTCATGCTTTTGAGTTGATGTCTGGATTGGTTGTCAAAATATTTAAAAAAAAATTCTAATTTACTTAGCCTTGGCAAAATTTAGGTCATTTATTTGGTCTTATATATATATATAATTAGTTGTACAGTTGTCAACAGTTTAACTTAAGCACACGTTATGAAATATTCATTTTGATCTATGGAAAAAACAAACAAACAATAAACATTATTATTATTATTATATTATTATTACTAATCCAGGTCATATAATATAATATTAGAACATATGATACTAAACCACAGTTTAATTGTGGTGTGTTGTTGTGTGTCATGAGTCATCATTATTCAATGCAATCACAATATCTATCGTCATCATCATCATCATCAATAACATCATCAGCATTATTAACAGACAGATCAAATATTACTCATCCTAATACTGATCTAATTATGGGAAATACTGTTCCGTCTTCTTTTCTTGAAATGAATTTAACCCAAACAACAAATGGTTTATTAAATAATAATAATAATATTAGTAATAACGATGTGGATTTGAATCGTCAAACTCGTGTAAATTTAACAGATGATAATGCACAATGTAAATCACCATTATGGGTACCACCTGTTACACCATATACATTACTTGGTTTATTAAAACCACATTTAACACAATCTGGTTTACTTACTAATAACAATACAACACATCAAATACAACAACAAACAAGTACTGGAACACTTATAAATACAAAATTATGTGAAGATTCAATAGGACATCAACCATTCCAACAACAACAACAACAACAACAACAGTCTAGTTTAAAACAATCACAACATCAAATTTCATCAATGTCTGCTTATCTTTCGGAACTTTTGAATCAATCTCAAACATCGATAGCAACAACAACGACTAGTGGGAAAAATTCAGTACATGGTGAGTTCAAATTGTTTTATTGCTTTTATATTTATTTATATTTATGTTTACATGAAGTTAAAATCATGTATAGTTATCTACCTACAAATATCTTTTATGAACACACCACTGTAGAGTGCATATCAACATTCCAAATGAAAAAAAAAGTAAATAGAGTGAAAGTTAGAGCTTGAAATGAAGTCTTCAGTGAAATTTATGCTCTTATAAACACTATTTAATCAATAAGTAGACGAAAGAAATGCCTGAAAATGTTCGATACTTCATATATATATTGAACATTGAAAAACAATGTACGCTGCAAACATACATATATGTACTTTATCTCCTAATTGGGTTAAGTTGTAACGATTCCCATGTACTTTATAAATTATAAAATGAGATTGTTAATGTTTGTCGTATGTTTATTTATAAAAACAGGGTCATTCGACAAACAATTAATATCTATAAATACATAGAAAGAGCGAGTCCTAGTTGTAAGTTGTGCTACTGATCTTAACAATAAACAGAGAAATTATCCACCAGCTTCTAGGGTATATGACACAGTGATAACATCATTATGGGCATAGATCTGAGTAAACTTTCATCTGGCTTTTTTTTTCAGTCGTTTGCTAATACACACCGAAACAAATACTCGTTTTATTTTATTTTTAAACGGATGTGTCTTAGTCGGAATTGGATAGATAGAATATGACCAATATGTTATCATCTATAGATTGGTCTATATAATTTATGTTACATCAACAATGTAGAAGTTTTAAATTGTTCAGTGTAGGGAAACGTGGAAGATTACATTTAGATAGTATATTTCCATCAATGACACACTATTCTTCCTGAATAATTTTCTTTTCCAAGTATTCTGATTGATTCTAAGATGATTTGTAGTGGGTTTTATTTGTTAAATAGTTTTTCCGACATTAGGAGAATATAGTTGGTTTTAGCATCAAATGTCTTCTGGGATTTTCAATATTCATAAGCTTTTTTATATTCATAGCTTCACTGAATGCACTGCGCTGTCTGGATTGTAAATAAGTTGATGTAACGCTACAGCTTGTCAGACTAATCTTAGTAATCTTATGTATTTTATTGGAATTATGGAGAGAGCTATAGGGATCTTGGTAACAGCATGTACGATGTTAGAATTGGTGATCAGATAGTATACTTAGGTAGAATGAATCTTGTTATTTAATTAATAAGGTGAGTTTAGGTCACCAGTTCAAATGTTTTGGTCGTATTTTGTTTGTAAGGTCTCAGTGGCTTTTTATCAAACACTTCTGTGATATCAGTATTGACCTGGAACAAATGAAGCAGTGATAGGTTTATTGAATGGCAGATGGTTATGTCAGCTTTGTATCTGTTGTCTAAGATTTCAAAAAGCACATTGTTAGGTAGTTGAAGGTTAAATTATACATAATTTAAAATCGAAGCCGGTGGTTATCCTGTTATGGTTTTATTTTTACGTCTATTCAATAAACAGTAAAATGTCTTTTTAAAAGAAATAAAATCTCCCTACGTTTTACTCTCATTCACAAGGTTTATATCGATAATTTTTATTGTAATTATCATACTATGTCCCCTTTTCTGTTCCATGACATGTCATCACTTTGTTTTGGGTAGTTCATCTCATTTTGGTTGGATTTTACTTTGATAAAACAAACTATCTGACATTACATTTATTTCCTCGTAGTTTTTTTTTCTTTGATGTATTCTTCAACTTCTATACAGGCATATCTATCTTTAGTTTTGTTCAGATTACTTTTCTGGTCACTTTTTGATTTTGTTAAACTATTTATAAAGCATAAATGAAATATGTAGTGTTACTACATTGGTTCTCACAGACAAACGTGATGAGTATTTTTGGGATATACATCAATTATCATTGCTCGGTGGTTCCATCGGAGCCTCGATGCCTACACTGTTACTTTAGAGTATGCTGAAGTACTTTATAAAAGCTATTGTGGTAAGCAAATATTTGACAAAGAACAAGTATACTCCACTTCAGGTATCCTTGTTTCTCTAAGCATATTGAAAGATATTAATTCATAAAATTGAGAAACTTTTGTTCTCAATTGAAGTTTCTTGGCTGTTAGATGCTCGAAAAATCGATAATTAAAGATATACTTGGCTAACATGACTTAAAGTCAATGACAGTGATGGATATGCATCTGTTTTTTTTTTAATATTTTTCATTAGGAGGTTTGTTAAGCTTATCCAATTTAAAGATAGTTTATATCACGAAGTAAATTTATATAAGTTATCATCCGAGACCAATGAGTACTGACTAACTGACAATCCTGTCAGCCATCGTGGCTATTGTAGTTTTCTCCATTTTTTATCGACCATGGTAGTTCAATATGTGACAGTGTTATTGTAGTTACGATACATATTTGTATTTTTCTTTATTTTCCTTGATAAGTTTTATTTCCCTACTTTTTAAAAGATAAGGTGTTAATAATGGTCTCATGTGAATCCTTAGGTTCATATACGTAGACGGTCGTCTTCACTTGAATATTAGGAAATGTAATGAATTAATATATGTTCCATTAATCATCGATTTTGTTTTTTTCTTCATCCGTATTCCTTTTAAAACAATTTCAGCCTTATTACTGAAGAAGGTCTATGGGTATTGTTCGATTTTTCAACTTAGATCATGAATTGACGTCAGCTAAATAGATAACCATGGAAAACTAGGGAGTAACTGTTTCGTCATTGTACGGGACTCTTCAGTCATGAATAACCACTAGACATTGAACCTCTAACCTTATTAATTTAGTTAGAATCCAGTGATTTATATTTCTAACTTCAATTGATTTGCGATATTATATGATCATCATCCATTGGGATTGATCATAACTATCTCAAGTCCAACATGATTTAACTTCATTGGTCATAGCTTCTCTCCCTTATAAATCGAACAGTTCAGTTATCATAAACTAACATTTTAAAGTTGATTTTAATTATTCTATGCTATTTACTAGTTGAATTGTATCTAACAATCTATTAGTACTATCAATGGTGTAATCAGTAAAGAGGTATTTAATGATGTAATATATTTTCTGTAACTCAATTGGTTAGATTGTCAAGTCATAACTTCATGTAAATGTACAAGGTCCAATAGAAGTTGCTTTCAGTTAATTCACGGTTACAATACAGATTAGAATTGTGAAATCATACGTATACTATATGTTGTTCTATTAAACAAGTATGAAAAGTTTTCTTTTTAAAGAGCCATATTAACTTTAATGAATTCTAAAAGAGATCTTCAGTTCTTAATTGCTTTTTTTTTTAACTGTTTGCAGATACATTTGAACTGAAAAATGACAAAAAAAATTCACTGAAATCTTGATTTCATAACTTAAAGAATGTATATATTTATATTGATAATGATGATGATATGGGGAATATTGAATCAATAAAATATAGTGTCATATGATCTAGAAAATACAAATATAAACAAAAGGGGAAAGAAAACGTTGACTTTTAAAAGTCTTAATAGGGAAACGATTCATACTACTGTTGTTGTTTTCGTTTTGTTTTTTGATTTTCTAAATTGAAATGATTTTAAACAGATCCAGTAAAGATTACAAAACCATAAGAAAATAGGGGGTTTTTTATACAAAGGTACAGACTATTACTAACCTTTTCTATGTGCCAAATATCTCTCTTTCTAAGGTGTATTTTTGTTGGGGACGATAGATCCCCAAAACTCATTTTGTAATTTTATCTTTGTGGGGCTTGTATGCAGATGTATGCGTGGGCACTCCTTACCACCCACGCAAATAGCCGATTTGTAGTGAACAGAACAGGGGTGGGAACAGTCGAATGTATTTAAACACTAATTTACAGAGTATCTCACTAAAAATCGTTAATTTGCAAAATGTCCATCAATTGTCTCAAAATGACTCAGACTTTATTGTTCTTGCATTTTCATACAAATTGCATTCTGTCTTCATTCTTTACTGTTCGATCTTCTTGTTTCTCTGCTGCCAGACATTCTATTCACGACTAACATCATATACTACTTATGTCTACATAAGTAGCACACATCACAGATTGACGAACTCATCGATTGAATGTTTAAAAGCTCCATGGCAATATTGATTATATATATTTGTATATATATATATATATATATATATATATACGTTTTAAATTGTGTTTGTTGTGATCGCTCGTTTTCTGGCTGTTGCAGAATATACTTCCCATTCTAAGCTTGGACTTCTCCCTCTAGATAGTCGGGCTGGGACGCATCAATAGCTAGCTTACTGGTCTTTGGTCATTGAGTCTTGTTTCTCGTTCGCAGATTAAATGAACTCATGATAGCTTCAAACCTAGCAATTTTATAAAAGTCTCTTTCACCCCCTTGATCAATTAATTCACTTTAATGATTTTTAATTTGACACCTACATAAAATTTGGGAGCAAATATAAAAATAATTGGGAAAGTGTTAAGAAGTTAACATTTCAGTTTTGATATAACGGTAATCAGAGGAGTACAACGAGTAAATGTATTTACACGGGTAAAAAAATCCTTTGTATGTTCTGTTACTGTATTTTCATTGCTAGTTTTTTCTAACATCAAATCACAATCTGAATTTCTGACATTTTGAACCCTGATGTTTAACTCACTTAAAGTTTCAAATCATTATTTTCAGAATGGAGATTTGTAGAGATTGTAGTAATTTTAATAGTTAGATTTATGGATCGATCTATGCTAGACTACCATTGAATGTCTGAAAGCAGTGGACGGCCGTTTCGTCCTAGTACGGGACTCCTCAACAGTGCGCATCTACGATCCCTCATGCGGGACGCGAACACTTAAATTTTAGATCACTGAGCTGGCATCCGATGGTGTTAATATCTAACATGCATCGATCCATGATCTTATGCAACCCTTCATCCATTGTCTGAGATGGATAACTGTCTCCAACAAACACATGGGTAGTCTAATTTAGGTCGACTCATGAATTCAACTATTAAATTCAGTACCTACCAACTTGTTAA